ACAAGGCCAGTGGATTGGCATCGTCATACCTCTCTGACCTTTTACACCTTTATGTTCCATGCCGTGCTCTACGAGCTTAGGACTCTGGCCTTCTAAAGGTTCCCAGAGCCAGAAAAAAGACAATTGGAGAACGTGCGTTTTCTTTTCGTGTACCATATTTGTGGAACAACCTCCCTCAAGATGTTAGGCAGGCATGCTCTGTGGGGATTTTTAAAATTAAGTTGAAGACACATTTGTTCAACCTATCCTACATGTCTTAATTCTAGGCTTTCTAGTTTTTAAATTCTTATTGTTTTTAACTTGTATTGTGTTTTTTACTTGTATTGCTATGTATTGCTTTTATTTATTTATCCTTTTAGTTTCAAATAGCTGTACAGCACTTTGTTTATTATTGTTGATAGTTTTGTAGCCCAGGGATTGAAGGCTACAATGGGCCTACAGTTGGATTGTAGACCCATTCTAGGTCCTGACATCCAAGTATATGTAGCTCAGGAAGTCCAGTGGCGTATGAATGTGTGGGAATGTTAGATAATATGCAAATGTGTACAGAAAAAAGTGCTTGTGTGAATGAGACAAGTTGTATAAATTGTTTTGACTTCTCAGAGTAGAAAAGACCTATATAATAACTACTTCATTTACCATATGACTGCTCTTTGGTCTTGCCCATAGTGGTGGAGAGGCTGGAATTGGAAATTGATTCTGTAGACAGGTGTGCTTTAATCACATAACAAGTTGAGATCAGGACTATCTACAATTGATTGAGCCAATCTGTGGGAGCCAAAATTCTAGCTGTATTGTAGGGGATCAAATATTTCACTCAGTGACATGCAAATTAACTTCTAACTTTTATATAATAGTTTTTTGGGGGGTTTTTTTTTGGGGGGGGGGGGGGGGGGGGGGGGATATTTTGGTTTATCTTCTGACTCTCTCCAATAAGACTGCATTAAAAATTAGACACTAATTAGAATTTGGATGTGAGCTAACTTACAAATTCAATAGATCAAATAAACTGTGACAGTTAAGAATGTTGTAAATAAACACTTTCCAACCAACTGATAGTTTAATTGTTGATTTTGATTGTTAATAACTTTTTTGCATCACAAATCTTCATTTATAGTTATAAGAATGCATCAGCGTCTATAGCAGAAATGTAACAGTATACATTTTTAGTTTTAGTAACATTTCCCTTTTTGTTTGGTTTTATTGGAGCAGATTATGTGGTCTGACTGAGCACTCTAAGCACTTTAGACAGCATAGCTCATTCACCCATTCACACCCACTGATGCAAGCATTTTTTTTCTACTTTTTTCTACATAAATTGTTGTTTAATGTTGTAGTGATTGAAATGATGAAAAGACATTTTTGTTCAATGACTCTTGCAATTCTAAGAGTTACTCTATTTACTGATACTTTAAGATTGAAAAATCTATAATGCAAACTCCTCCCAGAAAACTTTGTCAGCCTGGTCAAAATAATTACAAAACCTAGCTAATACCCTTTTTATGTAAAGCAGAAAAAGGCAGCAATTTGGAAATAGAGCTTAATTGACATTAGGTTTCGCGTTACCTCACACACAGTTACAAAAATATCCTCAGGTTAATCTCAGTTGTATTATGACGGTACAGCAAAGTGTTTAAATTCCTGCCAGTGTGTGTGTCCTAGCTTGTGTGAGGACTGCCAGTGGTTTGGAGGGTGAAGTGATTACGTAGCAGACGGTTGGCTTCAGACAGGGAGAGGTGGTGGTTTTCGGGTAGAAAGACAGTTTTTAATCCTTCAGACCTGAACAGCTCACTCAACAGTCTTACCGTCACTATAAGCTTTTTCTTTTTTCCTCCTTACTTTATGTACTGCTTTTTCTTTGCATAGTAACATAGTAACATGATAATACAGATGTGTCGCACTGATGTTAAAGTTTATTCTAAGAGGGAACCCACTGATTGTAGCCATCCTGTTGAAATAATGTTGTTTGTAAAAAAAAAAAGAAGAAAAAAAAGAAAATGTGATTCACAGAATGTTTATTTGAATAGAAATAAATTTTCACATATTTTAAACTTAACTAACTGTCTCTGTTTAGTGCAACTTTCTTGTAGTTGTCCACTATATTTCAACATTGTAATACAGTTCACAGGTATAGTAACTGTTGACTTTGCAGATTACATTTTTAGAAAACTACCTAAAAACAAACAGAATATATTATTCTGCATCTAAAATGATGAGCATGACCAGCTGTTAACTTTACTTTAAAATTTTGGAGTGCACCACTTTTACTAGTACTAGTACTACCTTAAGATAATGTTATTTCATATGTATTATACATTGTGGGAAGAAATATTGAGAAATATATAAGCCAGATTCACTCTTCTTACAGCTCAGCTGTAATACAGCTATTACAGCTTATTCACTAGCCACTCATTAACTATGCATGCTGTAGAGGATGTAATGCACATTGGTTTTATCAGAGCTTTTTCATCTGAAAATATCTGCGTACTGCAGACATAAATAGACAAAAAGCAGCTTCAAACTGAGCAGAACTGCAGAGTCCTGTGATCATCTTTAGTGTTTTTATCATTGTTTTGAGTAATTCTCTGTAAGTAAATCTTCGTATTGAATCTAGAAATTATATACACTGTTACCTTCAAAACGTGAAGCTTTTCCATAATTGGGATTCTGGATAAGCTTCTGTATGGGTTGTATTTCCAGACACAAAACTTAATTGTTATTCTGTATAATTCTGTATGTCAGTAATGATACAAAGAACCCCAAGTTCAGGCCTCTGAATGTTCTGGCTGATGAAACCTGTCCAATGAAGCGATAAATATTGCAGTATAATACGCTAGGAGGGCAATGGAGGCTTCTATTTAGGGATAGTTCATTTTAAAAATTAGAATGATGGCATTATTGAGTACATCCTGATTGTGTTTGTGTGAGGAAGAGTCAGGAGGAATGTGTGACTGTGACACAAAGTACTTGGAATGAGCACTTTTGGTAAAAATGTATGTTTATGAGAAAAATGAGAGGAGAGTGAAAAAATAATACATTTGCATGTGGATTAGCGCAACAGTGAAAACCAACAAGAGAAAACAAGACTGTTAAAGAACCCCAAAGTGACTCTCAGTTTGGGAATGTTGTGTGTGGTGACCACTGTAAGGTGTCTGACCCCTGAAACAATGGCCTACAGTTCTTCTCAAGGCCTGCTAACACTCTACTGTATGTCCTCATCCTGGCTGCTGGCCACAGAGTGTCAGTGTGTGTGTGTTTGGTACAGTTGCAAGACAATGACAGCTTGTTTGCCGCGAGTGTGGATGGAGGGATAAACAGAAATAAAGGACAGGGAGAAAGAAGAGTTTGTAATAGGGTCATGCTGTCTAAGTGTTGGGCTGCAGTGTGTATTTGTGGGATTTAGAAAGTTGTAAGGGGTAATTTCTTAACTGAACATATTGATTTAAGTTATGTCAGGATGAAGTGCATTTCATATTCTTATTTCCTTCCTTGATGCATCTTATTCCAGAAACGGTTTGTCAGTCAAATTGTGCCTCTGTGTCATGGATTAGTTTGCATCATATTTGCTTTTTATGCTGTACTGTATATTACCGCTCTACTTTTCTCCACATTGGAGCTTGCTGAACAGGTGCTTCAATTAAGCATTTAATTAAGCATTAAGATTCCTTCCAAATTAATACGATTCCCAGTAGGGCTGTTCGATATAACGATATATATTGGATGCAATATAAAAACATCTATCGTTTCAGTTTACGCTATCGTTTGTTTAGTGGTGTCGCAAAATAAACTGTTTATGGCAATATTTTTTCATCGTTTTGATGGTCACTGTAGTGGCTGTATTAATTTCTTAAAGTTCTCTCTTTCTCTTATATTTAATATAACCACACTACAGACGGACAAGCGCCTGTTTTTATGCGTTGCCGTTAGCAACAACGACAGTAAAACCATCGCGTGTCCGCTTGTTTATTTTCCACATAACCCTTTCACAATAAAGCTCAAGATCCTGTTGAGACTTTTCAAAATAAACTGAATCACGTGAAAGAGTATGCAGAGTATTTACGGATGAGAAGCAAAAAAGAGTCGCCAGGTGCTAAAAAATAAACGTTAGACTCAAACGTTAGAACAGCCTTTTTCCCGCAGCACGCCGTATAATAAATACCCACAAAGAAAACGGTGGCCGTTACAACTTATGTCTAAAAATGTATCGCTTCATGCATCGGTTAAAACACTCGACTCCAGGTACATGACGCCCAGCTGGAAACACTTAACGCAAGTCGAGCTGCCCGAGATTCACAGCATTTACAGAAAATGTTAAATCTTTGTGATTTATATCGTTAAGGGGACGATATATGTCTTATATTGGGATATGAGATTTTGGTCATATTGCACAGCCCTAATTCCCAGTTCCAGATGCACTGAAACATCCCCACAGCATAATACTTCCACTACCATGTTTCACTGTGGGGACGGTGATCTTTCTTCTTTCTTCGCACATAAGCAACATATCTGTGCTTATAGTTTCATCTCATCATCAGTAATTCTTTTTTTTTTCAACTCTGAACTGATTGCTTTTGTTTTTGGCACGATGCTTTCTCAAGTAACAGTTCAGGCCCTTTGTGAAGCTTTTATATTGTGTGTAAAGATACTCCTCAGTTTTGACTAGATTTTTCAAGCTTTGAGCATTTGAAAGGTGCTTAAAAAGAAGTAAATGGTTCAATAAAAAGGTCTGTTTTCAAGTTGCTTATTAATATTTACCCAGGTCATTTTTTCTGAAATATGCCTGCTACTTTCTGTAGATAAGTAATTTAAGTTTTCTAAAAAAGAAGTCATATGTTGAAAATCCCTTGCTCTGTTTAAAAAAAAACTTGGGAGATTTTTTCCCAAAAACTGCCTGATAAAGTTTATAAGTGTAGTGAGCAACATGGGCGCCTGACTAAAGGTGAAGAAAAATATCATTAAGCAAAAATTTATGTAAGTAATTTTGTCCCTTTTCTCTCCAGTAACGGGACTATGGACCTGAGCCTGCGAGATGCTCTGGGTGGGGGTGGCGGTGGCGTCCAAGGTGGGGCCCCTGGTGATGCCCTCCTGAAGAGAGACTTTGTGGCTTCACTGGAGAAAGAGAGCTACGATGACAAAGTTGGGGAGACGGTCTCCAAGAGTGACTACCGACCCTTACTGGATGGAAAGGACACCAAGAGCGGTAAGTTGCTACAAGCATTTAAACATAGACATAGTGATTTTCTTCATGTGATCTTCTGGCTGAATGGGTTGGTTGGTAACCCATTAGATATTTAGATATTTTGGCATCACTAGAGTTCAATTTAAGTTGCCTGCCTCACACTGGCGTCCAGTTCACTCTGAAAAACTGAAAAACACAACCTGTATTTACCAGTTGGTTCTGTAGAATGAGCCATCAGTTGATGTGTGCTAGCACTGAGATCAGCTGGGATTGCAACTAAGCTTGACTTCATGGCCTGCTTGAAATAACATTAGGCTTGCAGTGCTTTTAAAATGAGTTACATCTTATCAATCTGATGGTAAGTGAAAGCTTAATAATGAAGCTGTGCCATCTGTGTATGGCTGTTATTGTAGTGCACCATATCTTAAAGTTATTTTAAAGTCTACCACATATCTATATGATAATATATGTAATTTAATAGCAACAGAAAGGCAACATTATGGTACAGGACTCGGTGATTGGATTGGAGACTGTTTGCTGCTTAGTTTTTTTGTCACGTTAGAAACCTGATCACTTGAAGAACCTCTGGCACTCAGCTTGGATCCAACACTTACTATAATTCAGTTTGACACCATCCGTTTTTTAGACAGTCCGTCTCTGGGTCAAAGTTCATTTTCAGACTTTACCTCTTAAAGAAACACAGAAGAAATAATTAGTTATAGAAATAGAAGAAATAATTTCCCAGGCTGCGTTGTATCCTTTGTGACTGCTAACATATTATTAACTTGACACCTTTTGAAGATGATCGGTGAAAGAGTCACGTCAGATTTGTCCAAAGCTGTAGGAAAACATTAGTTAGTGTGGAGGCGGCTGGATCTCAGGGAAGTAATGTAGCACAGATAAAGTTCTGTTAACTGTTCATAATATCAGACAAAATGTGCTGAAAAAGTAAAGCAACTTGAAGCTGACTTGGCCTCAAAATGATAATTTGTCACGCAAGCCTGTGATTCAAATGAAAATACCACCAAAGCAAGGTTTGACATGACCATGTTAATCTTCCATAGATGTTGAGTTGATCAAAACTGTGTTATGAAAATGGTGGAGTACAACTGTCCTGTTAGTTTGGTAATGTTTCCTGGCTTGCGGTACTATAATATGGAGAACTGAAGACATATCACTAGATGTTAAGAATAGAGATGGCACGATACCACTTTTTTATGTCCGATACCGATACCGATATCATAAATTTGGATATCTGCCGATACCGATATGAATCCGATATAGTGTTTTTTAGTCAACAAAACTGTTTTTTAAATATCTTGCTGCATTTTGTATAAGTTCATACTCAAGTTTAAAACAACAACTACACTAAAGCTATTCTGTTATACCTGTATGCAAAAAAAAAAATATTTCATAGTTCAGCAATACTGATCAATCTAATAAACTTGAACCTACACCATCCTCCCTATTCTAGTATTTTAAAGAGTACTTAGCATAAATATTAAGCAACCTAACTAATAGGGTTCCAACTCCCAGCAACAACAAAAATAAATAAATAAAAAATAAGGAACCACCCCTCACGCTCCACCTCATGATGCTTAATCGACGTAATCAACCTTAATTTGATGCAGTGTGAAAAAAAAGGCACAGAAATCAATTATTTTTCAAGAAATATTAAATAGATTCAACATCTTTCTTCAACAAAATTGCAGACTGCACAGATGGTACCTTCCCAAAGGAAAAAGTACTATAGCTTACTAGGGTATTTATATTAGACTTAATAGTCACTATATACAGTAATTGACTTCTATTCATTTTACATCAAATTAAAACTTTGGGTGTCAGATAATTATTTATTAAAAGCTAGACATTTTAAATGAGAATAAGAAAGAAAAGTATGTCTTTGTGCCCCCTTTTCCCTGTTAATGCCCTATCGGCCCCCCTGGCTAAACTTTGCTAGATCCGCCCCTGCACAGTTACCAGCCGTCAGCTACGTAGAAAAAGATCCTCGAGTAGAAAGTAATATTAAATACAAAACAAATTTCCCACGTGTGGGACTAATAAAGGTTATCTTATCTTATCTTATCTTAAATACATTCTAACAACAGCTGATCAAGCTTAAACGTGCTGCTGTTGTTCAGCCGCTGGTTTCCTCTTTCTGGTGCAAAGTGGGCCAAAAACAAACAAGAGACACTGACTCGCACAGAAAAGCCAATCAGCTGATCATTAAGCAGTTTCATGATTGAAGTAGCAGCAAGAAGAGGCAGTCGCTTGTTAAGCTTAACGCAGGAATGCTTTACAAACATTCAGAGATGGACTTACACACTTGCTTTACTTCTCTCGGGATAACTTTGTCGGAGATGAAATGCCGGGTTGCTAGCGAAGCTCCACATGCTATCCAGACCACCGACAGGTCCCGCATGCCACAGCCGCTCTATCACGTGATGCATACTGCTCGTTCTGAGGTGAGTTACGGCGTGTTGCAAGTTTTGTGAGGTGCTTTCGTGATATTTAATGGATCGGATTACATTTTTTATTTTTCTCCGATATCCGATCCAGTAATTTAGGTCAGTATCGGACCGATACCGATACATAATATCGGATCGGTCCATCTCTAGTTAAGAACGACTGGTGGATAGGGGAGGAGATTTCGATTGCTTTTTGTCAGCACAACGTGTCTGATACGCTTGGTTACTGACTTTTAATAAATAAATAAATCTGAGATGCTTGTAAAAACGTGTATACAGCAACTGTTGCCTGAATATTTTTCTGTGATTCATTCCCTACATCATGGTAAATAAATATGGTAGCAGTAGATATTATATAGTGGTTTTAAAGTATACAAACATTGTCTATGAGGGCGCAGTGGAGAGATAAGCTTTGAGACTGCTTGCCTTCCTTCCATAATTGAACCATAGAGAAATGAAAGAAGGAAATGTTAGGGCATCAAGGTTAAGAGCAAAGCTTTTCATAGAATTGGAGTTTATAGCTATTTGGTTAATGCTACCATGGGGCCAAGCTAAAGAGGTACTTGGAAACCAAACATCCATTAAGAGAGAAACTTAGCCTTCTTTAGACAAATGATTGGTATGAACCAGATCCAGCCAGATGGTTGGATAGTAGGAAGTAGCCATTTGCAAATAAATAAACAAAAAGAAATAAAGAATTAAGAATTTAATGCTGGGCCCCCAAATGGGCAATCAGAAATATGACCAAAACCAAAAAAAAGAAGAAGAAACAAGACAAAACAAACAAGAATTAACAATGTCACATAATATTGCACAGATATGAATTTAAAAAATACCACCGTATGTCCTTATTTTACATAATCACTTATTTCAGTTATATTTAGTTAGCATTTGTTTCACAGATTAATTGTCTATAGATTTAGGGAATAATGAATCTAGTAACGAACCTCGTCCCCTATTCAGAATTGCATGCTGGCTGAAAAAAGAATAACAATAACATTTCACTAAATAATTCATTGTTAGTTATCTTTTGCATGATAATGAAGATATAGGGAGTGCAGAATTATTAGGCAAGTTGTATTTTTGAGGAATAATTTTATTATTGAACAACAACCATGTTCTCAATGAACCCAAAAAACTCATTAATATCAAAGCTGAATGTTTTTGGAAGTAGTTTTTAGTTTGTTTTTAGTTTTAGCTATTTTAGGGGGATATCTGTGTGTGCATGTGACTATTACTGTGCATAATTATTAGGCAACTTAACAAAAAACAAATATATACCCATTTCAATGATTTATTTTTACCAGTGAAACCAATATAACATCTCCACATTCACAAATATACATTTCTGACATTCAAAAACAAACCAAAACCAAATCAGCGACCAATATAGCCACCTTTCTTTGCAAGGACACTCAAAAGCCTGCCATCCATGGATTCTGTCAGTGTTTTGATCTGTTCACCATCAACATTGCGTGCAGCAGCAACCACAGCCTCCCAGACACTGTTCAGAGAGGTGTACTGTTTTCCCTCCTTGTAAATCTCACATTTGATGATGGACCACAGGTTCTCAATGGGGTTCAGATCAGGTGAACAAGGTGGCCATGTCATTAGTTTTTCTTCTTTTATACCCTTTCTTGCCAGCCACGCTGTGGAGTACTTGGACGCGTGTGATGGAGCATTGTCCTGCATGAAAATCATGTTTTTCTTGAAGGATGCAGACTTCTTCCTGTACCACTGCTTGAAGAAGGTGTCTTCCAGGAACTGGCAGTAGGACTGGGAGTTGAGCTTGACTCCATCCTCAACCCGAAAAGGCCCCACAAGCTCATCTTTGGTGATACCAGCCCAAACCAGTACTCCACCTCCACCTTGCTGGCGTCTGAGTCGGACTGGAGCTCTCTGCCCTTTACCAATCCAGCCACGGGCCCATCCATCTGGCCCATCAAGACTCACTCTCATTTCATCAGTCCATAAAACCTTAGAAAAACCAGTCTTGAGATATTTCTTGGCCCAGTCTTGACGTTTCAGCTTGTGTGTCTTGTTCAGTGGTGGTCGTCTTTCAGCCTTTCATACCTTGGCCATGTCTCTGAGTATTGCACACCTTGTGCTTTTGGGCACTCCAGTGATGTTGCAGCTCTGAAATATGGCCAAACTGGTTGCAAGTGGCATCTTGGCAGCTGCACGCTTGACTTTTCTCAGTTCATGGGCAGTTATTTTGCGCCTTGGTTTTTCCACACGCTTCTTGCGACCCTGTTGACTATTTTGAATGAAACGCTTGATTGTTCGATGATCACGCTTCAGAAGCTTTGCAATTTTGAGACTGCTGCATCCCTCTGCAAGATATCTCACTATTTTTGACTTTTCTGTGCCTGTCAAGTCCTTCTTTTGACCCATTTTGCCAAAGGAAAGGACGTTGCCTAATAATTATACACATCTGATATAGGGTGTTGATGTCATTAGACCACACCCCTTCTCATTACAGAGATGCACATCACCTAATATGCTTAATTGGTAGCAGGCTTTGGAGCCTAGACAGCTTGGAGTAAGACAACA